TCCATGCCATTCATCCATTCGATCCATCCCATCCATCCATCCAGCAATCAATCAACCATCAATCCATCCATCTGTTCGTCCGTCCGTCCAGCAATCAATCAACCATCAATCCATCCATAGGTTCGTCCGTCCGTCCAGACAATCAAATGCACCATCCAATCTCCATCCCATGCTGTGTCGCGTCCGTCCGTCGTCCCAATCAGTCTATATACGGAACATCTCTCATAACTCCGTCGATATCTCCATCGACAACAATTGCGATCATAACTGACCGTCGCGACCGGCGCCTTCTTGCAGCAACAAAAGGGAGCCACGACTTACTTCAACGCGATGCAATGTGGGGTGACTGACGAAATGATTAGCTAAATATAATATATATGTTTAGCACATGTTCTTTTCTTTGCAGGCACAAGGAGATACCCGTGGATGGGTAATCGCTTCACGTCGCCGATCGTGTGCTGCTCATGTACGATCCTAGCTTCGCGGTGGCATGTGGAATTCAGAGCACTGATGCCACTAACCTAACGAACGCGCGTACATGTTCGGAGTGTCAAGGTACGACATACGTCGGTAAGATGACGCTGACGGGGTTAGAAGCTGTGAGAATATGAATATATATATATACAATATATAATATAATATATAATACTATATATATATATATATACTATATATAACTATATTATATATTTTACTCATATATATATGTATAATATATCTTGAAAATATCTTCTGCGGGATATGCTGTAATCGGGATGCATTAATAGGCTATGACATCATACATTCAACATTAATTAACTATAATGACATCAATACCCTCATTAAATCAACTATGACATCATACATCATTAATAACTATGACATCCATACTCATCAGTTAAAACTATGACATTATACCTCATTAATAGCTGTTGACTATCATAACACATTAATAGCTTGACCATCATACATCATAATAACTATGACAGTCATACCTCATTAATAGCTGTGACATCATACATCATTAATAGCTATGACATCAATACATTCATTAATAACTATGACATCATACCTGCATTAAATAGCTGTGACATCATAGCATCATTAATGAGCTATGACATCATACTCGGCCGCGGGGCGATCATTAATAACTATGACGAATCATAGACATTATTAATAGGCTATGACATCATACATCATATATCAACTAAGACATCATACATCATTAATAACTAATGACATCTCAATACATCATTAATAACTATGAGCATCATGTAAGGCTGCTACAGACCAGAATAATAGAAAAGCATTCCAATGACACACTTCGTTGCTATCCTGGTCTGGAATCCCGGCATCTATTTCGCAAAAACCTATTAGTTCATTGCCCGGTGAGTCTCATATCGAAATAACCAATTCAAAGTGCGCGTCACGTAACCGCAAGGTCGTCTGCATCGTGTGTACACAATCTAATAAATAGCCTGTTAGTGACGTGCCCAGACACTCTCAGTGTCACAGAGGCTAAATCGACATAGCGTACACGCAGCACAGACTGGTAATTCGCTAACGCGAGGTCATGTCCCCGAATTGTTCGAAGACGTTGTATTCCCTCTCACCCGGGACTGGGGAGAAAGCAGACGACACTCGCGGCGGTCACCGACAGCGCCGAACGCACATGCACGCAGCGCAACGCACGCACGCACGCACGCACGCCACGCCACGCACGCACACACCACGGCCCCACCACACACGCACGCACGGTGTAACGAAACAAACACGACGGGTCTTGCAACAACATTGGCGCTGCTGCTGCTGGCTGTCGCTGGCTGCTGCTGCAGTGATGACTGCTGCTACTGCTCCTGTCTGGCTGCTGCTGCTGCTGTTGCTGGCTACTGCTGCTGCTACTACACTAACTGCTGCGCTGGCTGCTGCTGCTTATACTAGCGCACTACTAATACTACTGCTCGCTGGCTGCTGCTTGCTGCTGCTTATAACTAATAACTACTGCTGCCTCCGCTGCTGCTGCTGCTGCTTGCTGCTGCTTATACTACTCCCTACTACTGGGCGCTCAGTTCGCTGCTGCCTGCTGCTGCTGGCTACTACTACTATTCGCTGCTGCTGGCTGCTTACTACTACTACTAACTACTGCTGCTGCTAGCTGCTGGGCTGCTGCGCTGCGGCTTCAGTGCTGGCTACTACTACCTAGCGCACTACTGCTGGCGACTACTACTACTACTACCTACTACTAACTAAGCTACTACTACTTACTACTAAACTACTACTACTAAGCTGGACTGCTGCTGCTTATGCTCGCGTGTAAAATCGTCTATCTTTTCTTTTTTTGTCGGGTCATCCAGAACGGTTTGCTGTCGCGCCTTGCCTCGCATATCAGGCGACATGCGCGCCAGTACAGCATGCTAGGCACGCTGGCACACTTGTGATGACCGAGCGGGTCACCTAACGAGTCAGGTCGTCGGAAACGATATGGGACTCAAATTAGGTGAGAGAGAGAGGGGAGGGGGAGAGAGGCGAAGAGAGGAAGGGAGAGAGACGAGAGAGAAGACGAGAGAAGGAGAGAGAGAGAGAGAAAAGAGGGAAAGAGAGAGAGAGAGAGAGAGAGGAGAGATAGAGAGACGAGTGTGTGAAGAGCGCGCAAGAGAGAGAGAGAAAGAGAAGAGAGAGAGTAGAGAGAGAGAGAGAAAGAGACGAGAGAGAAGAAGAGAGAGAAAGAGAGAGCGAGAGAGAGAGAGAGAAAGAGAGAGTGAGAGAGAGAGGGGGGCGCGAGGAGAGAGAGAGGGGGAGGGAGAGGGGAGCGAGGGAGAGAGGAGGGCGAGAGAGCAATCAAAGAGAGAGAGATAAGGAGACGAGAGAGAGAGAGAAGAGAAAAGAGAGAGGGGGAGGGGGAGAGAGGGGGGAGGGGAGAGGGAGGGAGAGAGAAGAGTGAGAGAGGGAGAGGGGGGGAGGACAAAAAACACGAGAGAGATCATTATACCAATAGACGATCTACGCACTACTTACTTTCGGTCTATACATCAAGAATGCAGCTAACTGTTACATTTGGACAGAGTCCATTATTTTTACGTCATACATGATCCCCGTTTCTATTTTAAAATCTCTAAATAAAAACTAGGTTTCGAACTCAATGTGCAGATTTTTAAACTCAGGTATGCATATTATTTTTATTCCATTTATATACAATCCATTATTAGTCATTGTACAATTATTATGAATTAAATTGATTCTTATTATGTGTAATTACAAATCACATAATCGTCGATATATAATATATATATATATATAAACTCGATAAAGATAATTCAAAACTCCAAGTATCGAATCTGAGATGTAAAACGAGTAGGTCGTTGAAATTGTAAAACTATGAGATGTTATCGAGTCTGTCGCGTGCAACCGACGCCGACACTTTATCGTTTATAAAGTCTGTTATTGTTTATAGAGTCTTCATGACACGCACTTAATATAATATATTAAGGGATATATTATATTCTTACGCATATGAAATAACGGCTCGCATACGTCATATATGACTGAGAACAATATAACAGATATACATATATACACTTGTTGTAATATATACTTTACATGTACAACAATGACATAAAAACTAAAACTTACATTGTTTACGGAGCTAGTGCAGTTGTCGTGTCAACCAGCGGCAGACGACGGTGCACCACGGACGATACCTGATGCACAACTGTTCCAATGACCGGTTTCTACTTCCTGACCGTATTATCGCTGCGGTTTACTGCGGTTATTACTGCTATTGACCGTATAACGCTTCGCGTAACGTAAGTCGCGAACGTCGCCTCGCGGCAAACCAGTAAGGTTAACCAATTTATCAGTGGAGTGTAAAGAGCTCAACGAACTCTCCCTTGTGGTTCTTGCATGTTTGGTGATGGATCATTAATTGTGTGTTATCATTAATTATCCTAATGACCAGCTTCGGTTTCCGTCAACAGACTTCACGATATCCACAATAACGTGGATAACTGTCATTCGATATAAACGACTGCCGCAGGCCGAAGAGCAGGGATAGGGGTATTTTGACTCATCGAGTAACCACACTGGCCATTGTGAAACAGAAGGATAGTGGGAGGGGGTATTCTAATTTACCGACTAATATAACCAACTGACCATTGTGAAACGGAGGGATAGTGGGAGGGTGTATTCTAATTTACCGACTAACCAACTGGCCATTGTGAAACGGAGGGATAGTGGGAGGGGGTATTCTAATTTACCGACTAACCAACTGGCCATTGTGAAACGGAGGGATAGTGGGAGGGGGTATTCTAATTTACCGACTAACCAACTGGCCATTGTGAAACGGAGGAGCCTAAAACAGGTTCTTATGTAAAGGGGTCTAAATGGGAAATTTTAGCCTAACATGTTCTTAAAATCTATGTTCTTATACGCGGGTTTTTACTGTAGCCCATTTCTGACCTATCCTGAAAATTTTATGACAATCCATCCATAACTTTTTCAGTTAGGCTGTACACGAACAAAGAAACGCACAAACCCACAAACCAACCAACGCCGGTGAAAACATAACCTCCTGCCAACCCCTTGGCGGAGGTAATAAAGGTGAAGAGTGGGACGATGGGTGGAGAAATTGTTAACCAGGATCAATTAAAGGAATTGTAGGGTGCAACAAATAGACGAGAAAAAGATGAGAGTAGATGAATGGTATAAACATTTCTAGTGACACTTGGGGTTGTCGGATACCTCCTCCAAATAACATGGTTCATCGATATACCGTCCTCTCGGCGTCCTTTACCTACCCATCTCATCATATAGATGTAAATTTCTATCCACCTATTTCCTTTTTACCTCCAAGGAAATGTCTGTTAGCTGCGCTCCTGGTACCTCGATCGTCTCCTATCTTCGCGTTTCTGATATACATCGCCCTTCGCACTTCTCTCCTACCACCTATTCTCTCTTCCTTTCTCTTCTAATGCGTTATGTGTGAATGAATGAATCTGGCCATAGAAATATAGATATCTAGTTCACTATTTATTTCCTAGAATTATAAAATATAATATGCTTTTACTTGGGCCCTTGTAATATTCTTTAACATTTGGCAAAAATTTTATAAAATCGTATATCCTATAATACATTATTATCATCTATTATGAACTAGCTGGGCTACCCGGCGATGCCCGGGATTAAAGAGCTAGAATTTAGTCTGCTATCACGGCTGTACTGATGTTATTCGGATTTTATAAATCTGTCCCAAGAATTTCACTTCTGGTCAGTTCTGCAGCGCTTCTTGGTACACAACATTCTTGGTCTTGCCATCTTGAGAGAGGATGTAGAGGTTGTCTGGGTTACCCACCCTGGAGCACCCCACATAGAGCTGGCCATGGGAGAACACTGGTTCACTGAGGTTGAGTCCAACCATCTTGAGGGACTGGCCCTGGACCTTGTTGATGGACATGGCAAAGCTCAGCTTGACTGGAAACTGCAGCCTCTTGAACTGAAATGGCAGGTTTGATGGGATGAGCGGGATCCTTGGGATGAAGACATTTTCGCCCTTGCCCTTGCCTGTCATGATTTTGGCTTCGATGACTCTGGGCATGAGCTGCTTCACTGTGAGCCTTGTGCCGTTGCAGAGTTTGGGAGCATCCAGGTTGCGCATTGGGCAATATGGGCGCGCCGACCTTGAGCACCAAGTTGTGTGGTGGCAGACCTGAGGGCGCCAGGCTGTTGAGAAACTCGGTCGGATAGTGCATGACCTGGTCAGGATCAGGAACTGTGTCCATCAACTTGTAGCTCGTTGGGTCGCCAGGCAGTTGCTCCAGCAGCTTGGAGTTGATGTCATCCATGGCCAAATTCTTGGGAGCAAGGATGGCTCGCTCGCTCAGCCAGTCTTGGTCTTGGTAGCGGAGGTGGAGGTTTGGGAAGACTTTGGTCATCAGCTGGGTGATGTCCGCCGCTGCTTTGCCGAATGGCAGCTTGACTTGGCCATCAGCTGTGGTGGTGAGTCTGCCTTTGCCGACCTCCAGCAGTTGCTGAGAGAAGCGGCCAGCTTCTTCATCGCCTCTGAGCTGCACCCTCATGATGGTCTTTAGGCTGTGGCGGTTTACCTTGCTCCAGAGGTACGACGACTTGATGCAGGCATTGACAGCATCTGCTCTTGTTCCTTTGGCGATGACTGGCAAGATTTGGCAAAAGTCGCCTGAGAGCAGGACAGTCACACCTCCCATGACGTTTGTGCTGTGCCGAAGGTCTTGTAGGGTGTTGTCGAGTCAGGGGCGGATCCAGAGGGGAGGGGGGTCGAGGGGGTCCGGACCCCCCCTTTTTACCACAAAAAGGAAAAAAAAGCATACAGTACACACACACGCACACACTTCTCTTATATTGTCTCCATAAAAAAATCTTGTTTAGCGCTAGTTTTTCTGATAAAGATTTACTTATATATATGTAAATTCGTTATAAAAACCTAGAAATGGGCAAAGAGGGGTCCGCAGGCGTCCGGGGGACCGGATCTAATAAATTTTTGCATTCTAGACATCAAAATTACTGCTCAGCTGCTATCAAAATGCACCAATTAAAAAGAAATCTTGGGGGAGGTCCCCCCCCTAAGTGGCCTTCGGCAGCTTTTTAAAACACCAGAAAAAGTAAGCAGACAAAAGTGCCCTTTATTTATTTCTGGACACCCCCTTTTCAAAAATCCTGGATCCGCCCCTGCGAGTGCTTCAAAGGCGCATTTGTGGCTCATGGTTGCCTCGACCCAGATGATGAGCTTGCACTCTTGGAACAGCTTGGCCTTTGTGGAGCCACGGCTGATGTTGCAGGTTGGATTTTCCCACTTTGCCAGGTTGAATGGCAGCTTGAAGGCCGAGTGAGCAGTGCGCCCTCCGTCCAGCAGGGTGGCAGCAATGCCGCTTGAAGCAACTGCCAGGGCAATCTTCCTCGTCTGCCTGACCTTGGCCAGAAGAAGGTTGGTAACGAAGGTCTTGCCTGTCCCGCCAGGAGCGTCGAGGAAGAAGAGGCCGCTACGTTTTTTTTTGTCAAATTTTTTGGGTCAAATTTTTTGGTCAATTATTTTTGGCCTAAAATGGTCGTCGCGTCATGCTGATTCAGAATATATATGGTGTTGGGGGACACCTCTTACGGGTCTCGAGAAGATAGACGGACAGACAGACAGACAGATCCGGCCATTTATGGAGGAGATGTTATTTATTATTATTAGTTACTGTGCTTAAAATAGTAAAAAAAAACACCTGCTATTAGTATTATTATCAAATAATAAGCCGCGAATTTGGGTTTGTGGCGCTGTACCAGAGAATTTGAGATTAGTATATAGTTTAGTATATAGTTATTAGTGATTATGTATATACCGTTAGTATATAGAGATCAGTGAGTTGGACGCTCTTGTCACATATCAGGAAAATACAATATCCGTGTATGCGTGTGTGTATGTACGTGTGTGTTTGTGCGTGTGTATGTTGCGTGCGTATGTATGTGTGTGTGTGTGTGTGTGTGTGTGTGTGTGTGTGTGTGTGTGTGTGTGTGTGTGTGTGTGTGTGTGTGCGTGTATGTGTGTGTGTGTGGACCGACGTGTATGGGAGTGGGTTGCGTAACGATATAGACATCTTTGCGCGTCTGGGCGTTTGTTATTATTGCAACAGTCGAGGTGACGACGAGACGCGTAAATTGCTTCTTTGCATTGACACTGTCTGTTGTCTGGAGGGCATGCATATAAAGCGTTTGGGCGTCTGCTACAATTTCATCGCTTGATACGAGACCCTCGCTGTGCTACGCCTGGACATACACCCATGCAGGATGAACAAACATCAACGCCAGGCGTTAAACTAGAGTTGAGGTACAACAACGTCAGAAATGCAGTGACGCTTGACATACAGCCAGGGGGAAAATTCAGCCAGAGTGGACTTCAAATCAGGGAAGACTTTCAGTCAGTGCCTACATTCAACAAAGGTAGTAATGTTTCATGAAGTTAGTTCGCACACAGACTCGGTTATTTTGCAAGTTTTTCAAGAATGTGAAATAACACGTGGTGTGAAATCTATAGTATCACCGAGAATATCGATGTGTGTAAGTATGTAAAATAGGAATAGTCTGATGGAGTGCTACCAGGAGTCCAGCCGTATTCGTGAAAACCCGGTTGTCTTCTGTGACATAATATATTTGACTATTATATTGGTGTATGTATGCGCGTGCCTGCGTCTCTCTCTCTCTCTCTCTCTCTCTCTCTCTCTCTCTCTTGTGGAGGGGGGGGCGGGCGTGTGTATTTGTGTTTTTTATGTGCTTGGTGTATGTGACAGATTGTGACTATGTTGTGTAAAGCTATCGATTATGCCTGCAGGCGCTGTTGAAGGTATAGTGTTTACATTAACGTGTAAGATGATACGTTTCTATTATCGATATACCAGAGGAAATATGCTACAAGATTGGCGTGGCACAGCTTGTGCTGTGATCTGAGCGCTGCGCGCGGATGAGACGCGGCAGTTCCGCGGATATGCGCCACCGCGACCGCGGATGTTACAAGTATGAAGCGCTGTCCGCAGTGGAGGCGTGAGATAAATTCGAGGCCGGCGCATGTTCTCCACCACGCGGTCACGGGATGGTTGTAGTTTCTAGAAGATACAATGAACGGATAGGAAATGCGCGTATATAAGCCGGCTTTGCATGCGTGTGTTCAACACAGCATTGCCAATTGAAAAGTGGCTGGAGTGATTGGTGGTGCCTTAGGCCGTTTTTTCAAGAAAGTGCTGTAGGAGGTGTCTCGGACTAGTTTACTTCATAATGAAGCAACGCATTTGGGAAGATGTTTATATACGGGGATGTTTTTCTTATTGAGTGTGTGTGTGTGTGTGTGTGTGTGTGTGTGTGTGTGTGTGTGTGTGTGAGCACGCACGCGGGCATGTGTGTGGGTTTCTACAAAACCCGTAATTGGTTGGGTGCTACGAGGCCCCTGATTGGTCAGCTGCTACGAGGCTCCTGATTGGTCGAGCCAACCGTAGCAGCCGACCAATCAGCGGCCTCGGTGCAGCCGACCAATCAGGGGCCTCGTAGAAACTGACCAATCAGGGCCCTTCTAGCAGGCGGTCAATCAGGAGCCTTATAGCAACCGACCAATCAGGAGCCTCCTAGCTACCGGCCAATCAGGAGCATCCTAGCAGCCGACCAATCAGGGGCCGCATAGAAACTGACCAATCAGGGGTCTTCTAGCAGGCGGCCAATCAGGAGCCTCGTAGCAGCCGACCAATCAGGAGCCTCCTAGTAACTGGCCAATCAGGAGCCTCGTAGCAACCAACCAATCAAGAGCCTCCTAGCAACCGGCCAATCAGCGGTCTCCTAGCGACCGACCAATCAGGGGCCTTCTAGAAACCGACCAATCAGGAGCCTCCTAGCAGGCAGCCAATCAGGAGCCTCGTAGCAGCCGACCAATCAGGAGCCTCTTAGTAACCGACCAATCAGGTGCCTCGTAGAAACCGACCAATCAGGAGCCTCGTAGCAGCCGACCAATCAGGAGCCTCCTAGTAACTGGGCAATCAGGAGCCTCGTAGCAACCGACCAATCAGGAGCCTCCTAGCAACCGGCCAATCAGGAGCCTCGTAGTAACCGACCTATCAGGAGCCTCCTAGCAACCGGCCAATCAGGGGGTCTCCTAGCGGCCGACCAATCAGGGGCCTTGTAGAAACCGACCAATCATGAGCCATCTAGCAGGCAGCCAATCAGGGGCGTTGTAGCAGACGACCAATTAGGGCCCTCTTCGCAGTCAGCCAATCAAGGCCCTCCTACCAGCCGACCAATCAGGAGCCTCGTAGCAGCCGGCCAATCAGAGGCCTCCTAGCAACCGACCAATCAAGGGCCTCGTAGCAGCCGACCAATCTGGAGCCTCGTAGCAGCCAACCAATCAGGGGCCTCCTAGCAACCGGCCGATCAGGAGCTTCCTACCAGTCAACTAATCAGGGGCCTCGTAGTAGCCGGGGCGTGGGCCACGCTACCAGCCATCCACGTATAGAGTGCCTGCCGAGTTTCATACTTGCGCCACTGGACATAGGGTTAGGACTATTGAGTCGCGCCTCGTTGTAATTACGCTGATTACGTTTGCTCATCAAATACAACTTTGTCTCTGGGAAAGTATAAGATAGTCATAGATGGTTTGCGACGGCCGCGGTGTTGAATATGGCGGAAAGACCGCACAGCGAAAGAAAATATTTTAACGGAGGGAATTGTTTAAATAAATACATGGAAAATGAAGGCAATTAATAAATGTGGAGAAAATCGAGAACGGCGAAAAGAGGATCGCGTGTGTGTGTGTTGTGTGTGTGTGTGTGGTGTGTTGTTGTGGTTTGTGGTTTGGTATCTCTGTGTTGTTGTGCGTGCGTTGCGCCGTGCGTGCTCTGCCGTGCGTGTGGTGTGTGCGTGATATTGTGTCTGTGGGTTCGTGAACGGTGTGTGTGTTGTGGTGTTGTGTGTGTAGTGTGTGTGTGCGTGGTCTCGTTGTGTGTGTTCTGTGGTGTGGGTGTGAGCACGCTCTGCGAGCGTTTCGCGTGCGCGGTATGTGTGCGTGTGTGTGTGCTGTGTGATGAGGTGGTGGTGGTTGTGTGTGTGTGAAGTGTTTGGTGTTGTGTGTGGTGTTGTTGGTTGGTGTGTGTGTGGTTGGTTGTGTGTGTTGTTGGCCGTACGCGGTGTGTGTGCGTGTGGTGTTGCGGAGAGAGAGAGAGAGAGATGTGGTGGTGTTGTCGGTGGTGTGTGTGGTGTGTGTGTGGTGTGGTGTGTTGTGTTGCGTACTGCGTGTGGTGGCGTGTGTGTGGGAGAGAGAGAGAGGATTGTTGCTGTTGTGGTGTGTTCGTGTGTGTGTGTGTGTGTGTGTGTGTGTTGTGTGTGTGTGTGAGAGCGCGAGAGCCGAGAGAAGAAGTGAAAGAGAGGGTAAACGGATGAGGAGAGAATATGAGAACTAGAGTAATGCGAGAGAGAGAGAGAGAGAGATTAAGAAAGAAAAAAGCGAAAAAAGAAAGAAATAGAGAGATAGGAGAGAGAGCGCGAGAGAAACAAGAAGACAATTGTAGTAGATTGAGATAGCGATACGGCGGGTTAGGGGTATAGAAGGAAATGAACACATGAAAGCCGAATAAGCCACGAAGAAAATCGTAATAAAACAGATAACAAAATGAATTCGACCTGAGATCATTGTCACGTTCAACACACTCTGTGTCCACAAGTTCACCAGCATCCTTGACTAAAAAAAGAACAAAATCAGACGTTTAACTTGAAAAATAACATAAATACAAAAATAATAAATAAAAAAGTAAAATCTGATGGACTAAAATTTAACCAAGTACACTGGTGACAAATGACGTGGCAAGCGTGCCGTCGATAAAATGCACAGTTCACACGGTGATGTAAATACTCCATAAGTTCATAATATAATAGTAATATTATATATATATATGTATAATATATACTGTAAATTGATATATATATAGTATATATAGGTATACTATAGGTATATATATGTGATATTGTTATATATCATATTTTATGCCAGAACTAATAATACCGTTAGAGTGTACAATCAACCTTGAACTTGAACATTGAACTTATTTCTAGGACTCGCAGTCAAAAAACTAAATTTGTCGTGTAAATAGCCTAATTTTTTCCGTCTCTCCGTTTACACTCTCGGTTTGTATTAGCTTCTTGAATATATATAGTATATCTAATATAGTATAATTTCGTAGGCTTACTATCACTCTGGTTCGGGGAGGTGCGAGTGTGTGATTCAGAGATTCTGTAGCGGCCATGGTTGATTTGTGTACGAATCACTGTTAAGCTTCGGCATACTGCGGTACCCCCCTGCTATCAAACACAGTCAATTTCATTTAATTTCCGTCTCAATGACAGTTAGTGTTGATAGCTGTGCAGTGATCTTCTTCCTACTTGGTTCTATGGCCAGTAATGGCCTCCGCATTTTCCGCTGTCGGTTTTCAATCGTTCCGTGAAAATTTCCCAACGTTGTTATGCGTGTGAATGTTTCGGCCGTGTACGTAACCGCGTACATGTTCATCGTCTCTCGCTTCCCCAGCCCCAAAATTCGTTGGAGAAACCGTTGACCTTGAGAAAATCTAGCTTGGAAAAAGCGCACACTCCTCCGAAATATTGCTGCGTACTCCAGCCTGGGGGTAGATTACAGGTAAACGTGAGAACAACAAAACGTAATCAACGAGATCGTATGCAATC